TAATAGTTGTAGGAGATGGATGACAATGGAGAAATAGAATGGAGTTATTCATAATTATCCTGCCGAGTCTGTAAATTGAGGCTGTGATGGCTTTTGCCGCGCGCGAAGGTGACAAGTCTGAGACCGACGTAGGTCCACTTTTTCTTTTAATGAGAAAAGGCAAAAAGAAGGCGAAGAGTTACGAAACGACTTCGCGGAATCTCGGTAGCATTGAAACTGTCGCCGCGTTTAGAAAGGTGCGTGGTCACGAAGCGATTTTGTCGGGCTTTCTGCACATCGCGAAAATCTGGGCTTCTTTTGAGGTGCTTTGGCCACTGCGATAAGCCGATAACATAAGGGACGGATTTTTGCGACACGACAATTATAATGACATGAAATTGCTTTCCCTTTTGCAGGCCGAAAAAATCTATTAAATAGGATATTCAGCTATTCGGTTAGACTATGAACGCCTAGACAATGATACTGCCACGTAATGTTTATTGTGATACATCATTGGCGTATACTCGCTTACGATTGTATATCATTATTTATATCATTATGTAAATGCTTTAAGTAAAACAAATTTAAATGTCACTAATGCTTTATTGGAAGCTTCTTTATAATTGCATACGTGCGTGACGTTATTTCAACCTTCATTCGCGTCTCTCCTTATTTAATATTTTGCTATGTCTCAACATGACTTCATACTCAATCTTACATCTTTTTTAAGTTTGGAGGTATTAATTTTTAAATGCTTATATTAAACGTACGGCGAGTGTTATGGACGAAATGTTTGTGCGTCTTACGTTGCTGAGAATAAACGCGGCTTACACGGGTGAACAATAAATTGGATTTGTAGGGAATTTTAATATATACTTAATTGTCTGAAAAAGTAATGAATTTTCTAAACTGACAATGGCTAAATAAATTTATATGATTTGTCGTAAGATTTGTGAGATAATAATTGCTTCTTCGCTAAGTTATCCGAATAAAAAATGTTTAGAGTCATATTCGTAAACATCGGGTGAGATTACTTAAAGATGTAAAATCTCGGACAATTAATCCATATTATCCATCGAGCATGGAATGACAATTAATTATATTACTATGAAATATAAAAAAAAAAAAAAAAAAAAAAAAAAAAAAAAAAAAAATACCACTAGTCGTGGTATATTATAATAATAAAATATATGATTTCTGAAGAGCCGAAAGTTGACAATAATCTTACAATTACGATCGAGCTGGATTGGATGCCTTGCTTTCACTGATCAAACAGCTGAAAAAAAAAAATAATAATAAATAAATAAATAAAACAACACTTCCCGATAGGACTTGAAAATAAAAAACCAAATAAGCATTTACTTTCTTTTATTTGTGTAGAAAGTTGAGCGCATGCCTAAAATCATACACATTTTCTTTGTTATGTCAAATCGTTGCATAGATCTTCCTTTGTATTATACTCTTGGAAGGATCGCGCTTATTTACATATGCAAATTTACATAATAATTCACACAAGCGAACTTTAATCTCGCGCTCCGGGCGTCAAGAACCGGCTGTAGAAATAAAAAATAATCACGGCGAGCATATGCAAGACTACGCCAAAATTTCATAGGCAAGGGGGGGGGGGGGGGGGGGGGGGGCGTAGCTAATACGACTTTCTAGAGAAAAAAGTAGGAGTGTCGCAGACCACGCATATACGGTTGCATGAAAAGGGGAGCGAGGTTAGAGCTTGTGGCGATACAAGGCCATTACGAAAATGTTGAAGTGCGAGTGCGCGGAGAAAGGATGCTCGCGATATGCTGCGAAGTCTCGGTGAAAAATCTCGATCGTGGAAAGCCTTCGATCGTGAAAATAGATGTCGAGTCGCGACTGCCGGATAAATCGGAATAAATCAGAATATGCGTTACAAGATACTCGTCCCGAGAGAGGTAGGCTCGATTCTTTTTGTTTAATTAATGTTGTTTACGCTTTCAGTAGTGGAATAAATTTTCAAAGCTTATCCTCGCGTGCATTCTACACCGCGAGTTCGGATTACGCGAAATCTGCCTCTACGTGCACCGATTGTAACAGATACATAAAGAACAGGAACTGCATATTTTTTCCCCGCTACCGTTCTTAAATACCTATCTCTACACATTTATAACTGTAATTAAAGAGTTTGCCGAGCAAGCAGTATCGGACCAATTTCTAATGACATTATTATTGGCTAAAAAACAAAAACAGTCAAAACAAGCATATTTTTTACCATGAATTATTATCATAAGAATTTCATTGCATTATTTGTGCTTTGAGGAGCCAATATTTATTCATCTATTTGTAAAATATGGTCGTGAATTTTTATTATTAAATTGCACACAATTTGCATTGGGCATTGAATAAAAAAAGAAAGAAGGAAAGAAAACGATATGAGCAGAAAATAAATGCATGAACATTTTTTGAATGATTCGATCTTGTCGTAACGGGATATTTTATTCTTTGATTATCCGTTATGTCATTCGTTCAAAAGCTTCGCTATTGCCTTTCAATTGCAAACTTGTACGAAATTTAAAATAAAAATTAACAGAACGACACTCTGACCTTCATACATACATTGCGTGCATACGTGATTAGCGTTAAATATTATTCATTTACAAGCAGTATTATTGCTATCGTTATTATTATCAGATTCAACAATCCTTTTATGCTTATAAACATTAAAAAAATATATACAAAGTTACAATACATGCTCGTTTACATTCTTCGTAAATTCAAAAAATTTACACTGCCAACGATCGTCGATATTCCACAGAATTATGTGAAAATAAGTACATATTTGCTGTTTATCCTCGAGTATCATAAGCTACTTTTGAAAGTTAAATAAATATAAGACAATGATTAGTCAATCTAATAAAATTAATAATTAATCTTACACTAGATATTAAAATAACGACCAATCGCATTCTTTTGCCTTCAAAAAGTGCTCGACAATATACTTTGATTATACGATAGAGATATATGTGTGCGCGCGCGCGCGTGTGTATATTCATAATACGTGATATTGTATTATAGTTATTTATTTTAAATTAACAAAAGACTTACAAATAATAATAATAAGAATACATTGTTTTGAACAATTAATTAAAAAACAATAAAGAACGCAAATATTTTAACTCAAATATTTTTAAATTTCGAAGTGGCTTACTTTATAATATTATTAAAATATTATTATTTCATCTAGACCGATATTGAAAATTTATGTCTTAGAACTTTAAGTTTTTTGTTTTAACATATTAGCGTGAAAATAGCTTTTAAAACAGAAGGGACAACTATCTTGATCATTGTAAACTTACATTTTTTAATTTGTTATAAAAATTGACAGATATATCTGACATTCTGGGAAAAAAAAAACTCTTTATATAAATTACCTTCTTTATATATACATATATATTATGCAATAAATTAATTATATTCTTAACTAATTAAGGTAGATGTAATTTCTATTCTAAGAGTTGAAATATCGAAAGGAAAATATTTATTAAATATGCAGCATTGGAATTGATCGAATACAATTTTGAAATTGATAAAACTATTGTAATTTTTTCAAACGCATTTCTTTGTAAGTGAAATAAAGATAATGAATAAAATGTAATCGGAAAAAGTATATATAATTTACATAAATTTTACACTTTGGAAAATATTAAATTATTGAAATAGCTTTAGTGCGGCCTTTAACTTTCACAGAATTCATTTTTATTATTACATATATTATAAAAAGGACCTTGCTATAATGTTCTACTAAATTATATGTATTTTATATTGTTTAGAAACAGTTAGCTGTATTTTACATGACTGGCGGAGCTAATTCAATCAATTATTTAATATATAAATCGTATTTATACGATTACTCTTATGTTTCTTTACATATATATATATATATATATATATATATTTTTTTTTTTTTCTAAAAATTTTCGTTATTATGTAGTTACACTTAATTCGGGATATCTAATCCTTATTGTGGTAGATGATTAAATTAAAACGAGACAATAAATAAAAATTTTACAATCTTGTACATACTTAAACTACTGATACGATTGCAGTTCATTCGTAATAATAATTTTTCAAACTGCTACCACCACCGATCATTTGACAGGCCAAATTCACGTAATTTGTGATAATTAATGCAATGCTTATTATTAATATCTCTAATTCCATTCAATTTTACTTCAATATTCGTACACGCTTTATCAAATAGCTCTTTATTTAGTAAAAACGCTTTGTTAACTTGAAAGCACTTGAATGCGTGGGAATTTCTGAGTGATGGAAAAACTTTTTAACAGCGCCTATCAAATGGCAATGCATATGCAATCTTTTTAAAAGCACACATGCGCATTAGTAAAAATGAGGCACACGTGTTTATAATTTTGTCTAACCTCAAATGTCTATAGTACATGTCAGAATATAACCTTACCTTTAGTTTCCGTATTTTTATTAATTTTATTTATAATTTACCTTATTTTTTCCAAGCAAAATGAAAGAAATAGAATCGGAGGAAGTTGTAAGCGTTGGTTCTCATGTTATAGTGCAGAAATTAAATTATAAAAAAGTTTACCGAGTTTCTGAAACTGGCTCACTAGTTCTAGGTAAAGAAGAAATTAAAATGAGTGCTATCATAGGAAAACCTTTTTGGACAACTTTTAAAGTTATTGCACCCCAAGAAAAGCGCAATGATAGATCACAGAAAAAATATCCGCCTTCAACTTTAGTCGTAGCAGATAAATGCGAGTCTTTGGAAGATTTGAAAAATGATGTAAAAAGTGGTTTTGATAATCGATCCATTAATGATGATGGAAAGTCCCAAAAGCTGTCAAAAGACGACATTTTAGGACTCCGAGACGCTGGAAAGTCAGGACGTGAGATTGTTATAAGTCTTATAGAGAATAATGCATCGTTTAGAGAGAAAACAGAATACTCTCAGGAAAAGTATATTCGTAAAAAAGAAAAAAAGTATTGCCAGTATCTTTCGGTTCATAAACCAACGCTGTCATCGTTACATGAGATTTATTTAAGACAGGATCCAATAAAAATTTATGGACTAAGAATGGATACGTTGGCGCAAATATTATGCTATAGCGACGTTAAATGTAATGGTACATTTTTATTGTACGACAGTGGATCAGCTGGACTTGCTGCGGCAGGAATAATGTCTAGAATAGGATCAAATACTTCTGGAAATTTAATTTACCTTCATTCTGGAGATCACTTGCCACAAATGCCTATTGTGCGGGCGATGAATTTTCCTCAAGAGCAATTGGATAGATTAACCGTTGCAAGTATTTTTGATTTTCTTAATAACAGTTATAAGAATACAACGGATAGCGAAAATTCAGTTAAATCGCCTAAGACATTTATTGAATTGGATAAATTGATTATGAAAAATGAGGAAGGTTCTACTGCGCATGATGATTTATTATTAGATAATAAGACAGATGGTTGTGAAGAAAATAAATGTGATATTGCAAATTTTAAAGACTTAAAAAGGAAAAATAAGGAAATTTTACAGGATAGTTTGGTTGTTAAGAAATCGAGAAAAGTTTTAGAGATAGAACGAGCTGTTGAACTTTTATCTGCTGCTAAAGCTGACAGTTTAACAATCGTTGCGAGGGAGCATCCTCTAAATATTGTTAAAGAGCTTTTGTTATTTTTGAAATCGTCTAGACCGGTTGTTATTTATCATGCGCACCGAGAGCCATTGGAAGAAACGTACATTGCATTAAAGCAGCAGAACAATATAGTTAATTTAAGACTTTTTTCAAATTTTTTACGTTCGTATCAAGTGTTGGCAGACAGAACGCATCCAGACATTTTGACAAATGATTGCGGTGGTTATATATTGACTGGATATATTGTTAATTAAATATTATGATACGCATTAATAATTAATCTGCTATAAAACGATAATTCTAAATACAAAAACAAATTGTATTTAATGTTTTAACGATCCTAAGAACTTTTGTAAATATGATATATATTATAAAAATACTTAAAGAAATTTTTCCATTGCTCTATTGTACATATTGTATTCAAGAACATTTGAATACTATATTATGTAAATTATTAAATCAATTAATTTATAAAAAGTCAGTAAAGCGAATTAATTGTAGATATAATTTGTTACACGCACTCATATATATATATATATATATATATTTAAAAATAGGCACACACGCGCGCGCTCGCGCACACACACACACACACAACACAACACACACACGCGCGCGCACACAGATTTTGACATTTTAATAAATATATGTCTTTTCCTTGTTAATCAATTGACTGATAATTACAGCTCCCAAGCAATCGGCTACAATGTTAACCATAGTTCTGAATCTGTCACTGAAAAAAAAAAAAAAATAATAAAAGATAATAAAATACGTTCGTTTCGAATAATTTTGACAAGTCGTTTTATTTGTGTTTGAATTTATTAAAAATTTATTTCGGAAAAATTAAAATTCTACGTTTATAACTTTTACGATTGTGCTGCATTGAAAAATAAACGATATAATGAAATTTCGTAAGCAGCGTCAAGTTACTAGCAATAAAAAAATTAATTGTAAGCTAGAATTTGTAAAAATTATAGCCTCGTAAATATCGTCTTATATTTTCCAATTTTATTCTCGAATTTCCAAAAACTGAAGAGCGTTCGATCATTCAAAAATATGTATAAAGTTGTCCTCCTATACCGAGTAGGCCATTAATTTGAAATACATTTGAATGAGCCACTGCTCATACTCTCGACATGCAAAAGAAATGATTAATTGCACATTAAAAGAAAAAAGTAATTCCCCGTATTTGCGATACGAAATTGAAAAATCAAAGGGTGCCAAAGAAGCCACTTATGTGACATAGGTTTCGATGAAAAGTCGTTTGGAGAAACCAGTTAACTACGTAACGGCCATTGTACTCGCTTAAGCAGCTTATTTGCTTTACTTAATAATCATCAGATATACTTAACACAAAACTATCGACTGCGATAATTAGTGCCACATCTCCCGCGGGAATGGCCAGGGAATTCAATACCATAATTAGCATGGCGTATCCACCGCTCGGTGCATGACAATGTACATGCAATACTAGAACAGAAGGATTTGATTAATGTACAATTCCCTTTTAATTTTGCATCTTGTTCGTGCATCTCGGTAAGCGCGCAATTAACGTTTCAAATGAATGCAAATGAAAAAAATTCACCATTCGACTACTTTTCACTTCCAAAACTTTGCTTGATAATAATATTTAAGTCCATTTTTAATAGGCTGCGCGCACGTCCTACATACCCTCTCTCTATCTCTCTCTCTCTCTCTCTCTCTCTCTCTCTCTCGCTCTGTATGCGCGTACATGTGTATATCGTTTGGAGTTTTCACGCGACCTTATGCGCGCCTATAATACGGCTCTATGTATTTATTTTGAAATTTGCATTGAATTTTCAGCGATTCAATCGACGTATAAAAATGTACGCTTAAGCACGTGGCCCGTAAAAAGTAGTGTAATAAGGGAGATAAATGTGTTGATTTCCGATTCGTTGGCTTTTATTAATCTAAGTACGTGAATCTTTATATGAGACTAAGAGCGATGTACGAGTGTCCAGATTAACCTATATATATAGTCGAAAAAGTCCGAACTCCAATGCCAGTTTAATTATATTTAAATTCCGCCATTTAAATGTCCCAAAGATCTATTCTCGTCTGTTTACGTAATCGACAACATTTTATGCGTAATTGGCTGGTGGCCCAGGCATTGATACGCGAGAGACAGAGAAGATTGGATTGCACGTGTTCTTCATTTATTTCACGTACCGATCATGAGTCGTGTGCATGTGCATTCATTATCAACGCAAAAGAGAGATTTAAAATAGAAATGAAAAACGATTAATAAATTAACGGATCGTCTACGATGTGCGTAAATTAGCATAAATTACGAAAACTTTGTTGTGTAGCGTAAGTATCGCGCAAGATATAATATTAATTGCAAAGCCGCACAACCGAAACTGAAGAATATATTAAACATTTACACCTTCCGCAGCAAATAGATTTAGCAATTACTTATTTCTAAATGTTTGTATTAACTTTTAAAATTAAAAGCTGTTAAAACAAGGAGCATTTTCCTGGATTTAATAACAAAGTTAATCATAAAACTAACAACACCTATAGACGTAGAAATTAAATTGGATTTAATATTTAATTAAGCTAAGATTTCATTGCCAATAACCGAGATAGATGTTGCCGAGCTACATGATGTTGCCCGTTAATTCGAGTGCATCTCCAAGAGCTGTCGTAAAAGTAAAAGAATTTGAGCTGTCAAAAATAAAAATAAAAGAGAAGGAGATTCATATTCAAGATAAATATGATTAATGTCATTAAAAATTATTAGCACGTAGTGCAATTTTTCGATTCATCCATTAAGATTTGGTTTGCCCTTAAATATTTTCTTGACGATGAATCAGCCGATTGACGCAACGGTTCGGAGCCAAACTCGATCACTTTTAAAAGTCACAGACCTTCCTCGCGTGCCCACGTACCACAAACTTTTTCGTAAAAGAACGTATTTTTAAAATTTTGTAGAAATTTCCAGGAAAGGGCCGATCACGGACATTCGTTTTAAAATCCGTAATGACTTTACTTTAATCTCAAAGCATTAATAGAACATCGCGGCAAATACAATTCGAATACAATGCAAAAACAAAAAACAAAATAAGATAAAAAAAATAACAAAAAACAATAACAACAACAGCAACAGCAACAAGAAAAATGGGCAAGAATTACGAGGCTAGAAAAATATTTCAATGCAAACGCGAATGCCAAAGTACATAGTTAATTCTATCGACCTGGGGCTGCGTATAAAAACCACGATCTCTTCTCTTAATACGCCGTCCTAATAGAATTGATTCAATTCGATAAAGAGCTTATCGTACCTAATAGCTATAGATTCCACCAGCGATAAATCCAATCCTCTCATTTGCGTAATGAAAATAGCGCCGATAGTCTCGTACAGGGCTATTCCATCCATGTTTATCGTGGCACCAAACGGAGCTACGAACCTCGAAACTTGCGGATCAACGCCCAGTTTATCGAGGCATCTTATCGTCGTCGGCACGGTCGCTGTACTGCAGACAAAATTACCCGATATAATATAAGCGCGAAATTGCGGTTCTCGCCGTAACGAGGATTTTAAGATACGAAGAGTCGTTTACGAGATAATGCGAGGATATTGCCTTTCGATACGGCTATGATTGCCTACCGATACAAAATTTCCGCGGCCCTTATTAGCCAAACGGGCTAATGCTCTGTCGGTGATCATATATTAATCAAATAATTCTGCCAAACCAATGACCGCGAAAGTATATTTCGCCGCGTTAGCCGTGTTCCCTAACGAATAAAAATGCCCGAGCACGAGACTCTTTGTGGGCGTTTGTGCATAAGTATCGCTCGGCATTGTAAGGCAATGGGAGGGGGGGGGGGGGGGGGGGGGGGGGGGGGGGGTGGGGGGGGGGGGGGGGGGGGTGTGGAGAGCCTTGCTTTTACCAAAATTCTCCGCAAATGCCAAAAACTCTCCGCTCCACCTACGTACGGAACTCGGCTTATCGATCGCTCTTCATCGCTACATCACCGATCACGTCCTAGTGCTAAAAATAGGATATCGAGATCAATTAGCGTCGGCTTGCGATCATGCAGCCTCGCGCCGTCACGGCGAACTTCAAAAGCGGCGAGCAAGTAGTGCGGTATTAGGTCCCGAGGTAGGGAGCGACCGCGGGCCAAGTACCCGTCGCGTACTTTTACTTGCCTCCAAAATCACGTTTAAACCCGTCCGGGGTGATTTTGCCCGTGGCTCGAGCGGCTCGCATTACGTCTCGTCGTTTTTTCGCGCGCGAGGAGATAATGATGCGGGCGGGCGGACGGGCGGGCGGACGGGCGGGCGGACGGGCGGACGGGACCTTGAGGAGGTGCCGAAGGCGTTGACGAGAGCTGGTCCGATGGCCCCGAGGATCCGGTAGGGCGAGTGCCCTGTGCTGATGAAGAAAACGAGAGGCAGTACGAGGAGGGCTTGAATCGCCAGGCCGGCCAAGACCGTCCCGACGAACGCTACCAGGTGCGCCATCTCCGTCGCCCCCGACTCCTCGCTGCGCAGAACTTTGCCCGAGATGAGGAACACCACGGAGATCGGGGCTGACCTGCAATTCATGGATGTTAAGCCTTCGAAGGACGCCGAGTCGTGGGGATGGGGCCTTATCTCGGCTGATCGGAATGGCGTCGATCTTAGCCGGGCCCTTTTTCATGATAGATACTTCGATTCTATAAAGATTATTACGCGGAGAGACTTTCTTTTGTTTCCTTCTCTCGGCAAGTTTCTCAACGCGAAATAGTTGCATTTTATTCGTGATTCATTGAAGTCGAAAGTTCTTTGTGATTTTACGAGTGACCGTACTACGGCTGTGTTGCCTTCGCATTTTTTATCGATCCAAACAAGGAATCGCTATTTAGAAGGGAACAGCATCTCTTATAAATGATAGAAAACCGCGTTATATCGATCGCCTTTATACCGCTTTAACTTTAAATTTTAATTCTCTTTAACTTACTTTTGCGAACTCTCATACAACTCGCCCTGTATATAATTTTTTTTCTCTTGTTTTTCTTCTTTTTTTTTTTTTTTTTTGTTTTAATATTTTTTTTTTCATTCCTATTCGCACTTAATCATCCTATTATTACATTATCTTATGATATATTTACATAAAATAACGTATCTTATTTGAAAATATCTATTAGATACTTTATAATAGTCCATAGCGATAGTTTCGAACTGATTTACGCCAACGTTTATTAGAAATATAAATAGAATATTGATATTAATATTGATTGGAAAAGAATATTGCTAAAATGGATATTGACTCTACATAATATTCCTCACTTGGAATGATTTTTAATAATATATATCTTAAGATATAATAAAAAATGTTCCTTAAATTAGTATTGAATTTTTTCGCGTAAAATTGCTTTTCTTTGCGAATAATGCGCATTATGATTTGATCGATAAGTAGCGAAGCAACGTTAAAGTCAAAAATAAAAGAATCCAGCATAAAATTAATAAACAACAATGACTTAAATATGAATAACAAGAAAAGTATTAAGGTAGCGAGAGAGAACAGTAACTCGCATGGTTTGAAAAATAAAAAAAGTACGAACGCGTACTTGGTTCGAGCATATTTCACGACTAAGGATTCCTGAATTGAAAGTTGCTAATATTGCGGAGAAATCATTATTCACGTTTTTATTAGTATGAAAAATACCGTTAAGCACGCACAGATGATGAATATTCTTAATAGTACTTGTTTTATTATCTCTTTCCTAGGCGTAGTATTTATGCTGCGTGAGAAAAATTATTAATATTAACATTACATTTTGGCAGGCAAATACATTTGTGAAAATTTGCCTTCTCCTTTCGCACCTGGCTTACTCAATTTAAATTGCAAAAAATAGTACAAGAGAAAAAAAAACAAAAAAAACAAAACAAAAAAAAAACAAAAAAAAAACAAAAAAAAAAAAACAAATAAAAAACAAATAAAAAGAGAGATAGAGAGAGAGAGTGAGAGAGAAACAGAAATAAGAAATTGAATTTAATAAACAAATATACATCCAATGAAAATTTCCATAAATGAGCGAATATATGTCTTACAAATATTCTTAAAATAAAAATAGAATTTCATAAGAATGCACACCAGCATATCTTAAAATTTGATTTGAAATTGAAATGCAGTCGTCAAAGCAAAAATATTAATAAAACCTTGGGATATTTATGTAAATGGCAACATTTTCATGGGTGAGCTATTGAGGAAGATCCTCGAAAACACTCGTTTCATCCATTCATATCCAACGTTCCGATCCATATGATAGGAGAGACGATTGTGGGTCTCGTACTTTTGGCAGTAGTAAACAATGAATTGCCGCTTTAAACAATGAATAAACCGCTCGAGCTCTTTGCGCTGGATCAAGCAATAAAGGAGCGGCAAATCAGTCTCGAGTATACGTACTTTATTACCCACTCAATGATCTCGGCGATAACTGTATTCAAGCCGATAAAAAAGCCTTGTAACGGCCATTTCTGCTCATCGGACATCGTGCCGAGCGCCAATCCGAATACCAAACTGCAGAGCACCAAACCGAGTATGTTCGTTCCCTGCGTGTACCGATACGTTATATCCATGTCATAAGTTGAGATCCCTGTGGAATTACAATGGCGAAGTCGTAAGTTGAGAGCTCGAGTCGTTATCGAGTACGGCGCGTATGTTCTTTTTTTCGTCCCTCTCGATGTAATAGTGCAGCAGCTCATTAGACGTAGTTTGAAAGTCTCTATTAATTCCCCCCCCCCCCCCTCCCTCCTTCCCCCCCCCCCCCCTCCC